CCCGCCTTTCGGTGGGGCTGGGCGCTGCCGCCGTCTGGGCCCCGGGCAGGGCCGGCGGGGCTGCGGCCTCCAGCCCCGGAGGAAATGGCAACTTGTGTATGTGCGTAGAGAAAAAGAGAAAAGAGAAATGAAGGTGTATGTGGGGAGAGAGCATGCGTGCAGTCCAGCGCGTGTGGCTGCAGAAACTCTGCTAACGAGAGATTTCCCGCCTGCTATCTCTCCTGTCTGTGGCAGCGTGGGTTCTGTGGGCATTTCATCACTCGCGGTCACACCAATCTCTGCCAACTGCAGCTTATAGGTTCTGGCCTAACTGAATACCCTAAATGTGGAAAAGCATACTGCCTTCGCTCTGAAATCTGGAATTGCTCTCAGCTGGGCAGTGATTTCTGAACAAGCTCCACGTAGTGCGTGTGGTGGCTGCATTAAGAGTGTGGTTAAACAAAAATGAGACCACTAAGTGCCTTTTAATTCACAGAATGGTTTTGATAGGAAGGGACCTTTAAAGGTCATTTAGTTCACCCCCCCTGCAGTGAGCAGGGACCCTTCAACTAGATCAGACTGCTCAGAGCCATGTTCAGCCTGACCTTGACTTTTCAGAGATGGGGCATCCACAACTTCTCTAGGCAATCTGCTCCAGTGTTTCACCAATCTCACTGTAAAAAATGTCTTCCTTATATCTAGTCTAAATCTACCCTCTTTTAGTTTAAAACCATTACCCCTATCCCAACACTCCCTGATAGAGTCCCTCCCCATCTTTCCCTCAGGCCCCCTTTAAGTACCAGAAGGCTGCTGTAAGGTCTCCCCAGAGCCTTCTCTCCTCTAGGCTGAACAACCCCAACTCTCTCAGCCTGTCCTCATAGGGGAGGTGCTCCAGCCCCCAGATCATCTTCGTGGCCTCCTCTGGACTCCCTCCAACAGGTTCATGTCTTTCTTACTCTGGAGGCTCCAGAGCTGGACACAGCACTGCAGGTGGGTCTATTGCAGTTTGAGCCCAGAGGGCAAGTGGGTGCCCCACAGCTGTTCATTCCCTCCTTCCCCCCCCAGCGAAAGGAAGGAGAAAATGAAACAAAAAGCTCAGGAATGGAGATAAGGAACATGAAAACCTGCTGTTGGTGTGCTTGATTTGTGGAAAAGTCCACTGAGCCCCCAGGTTTGAATAAATACAGTATCTCTCCTGAGTGTGTTAAGATTGTTTTATTGCCTGCCAGGCATGAATTTGCTTTTTACATAACAGCTGCTCAGGCATACCTCCCCCCCTTCATCCTCCTTCCTTCCACTGACCTCGGTGTTCACATAGTGTCCTTCCTGTAACTCCTCCTCACAAGTTTCAGCCCCCTTTCAGGTTCCCCTTCTTAAATACGTTATTGCAGAGGCGCAGCCACCATCACTAATGGGCTCAGCCTTGGCCAGAGATGGGTCTGACTTGGAGCCAGAGGAGCTTTACAGAATATTCTCATAGGGAGCCACTGATGTAGCCCCCTCCCCTGCTACCAAAACCCCACCACAAAAACCCAGCACAGGTCTCACAAGAGCAGAGTGGAGGGGGAGAATCACTTCCCTCGAGCTGCTGGCCACATGCAGCCCAGGATACGGTTGGCTTTCGGGGCTGTGAGTGCACATTGCTGGCTCATAGTCAGTTTTCCCCGCTACTACTCCCAAGTCCTTCCCTGCAGGGCTGCTCTCAATCCACTCATTGCCCAGCCTGTATTTGTGCATGGAATTGCCTCAACCCACGTGCAGGACCTTGCCCTTAGCTTTGCTGAGCTTCATGAGGTTTGCATGGTCCCACCTCTCAAGCCTGTCCTGGTCCCTCTGGATGCCATCCCTTCCCTCCAGCGTGTCGACAGCACCACACAGCTTGGTGTTGTCGGAAAACTTGCTGAGGGTGCACTCAGTCCCACTGTCTGTGTCACCAACAAAGATCTTAAACAGCGCCAGTCCCCAACACTGACCCCTGGGGAACGCCACTTGTCACTGCTCTCCACTTGGACACCGAACTGTTGGTGGCAACTCCTTGAGCATGACCATCCAGCCAATTCCCTATCCTCTGAGAGGTCCATTTGTCAAATCCACATCTCTCCAATTTAGCGACAAGGATGTAATGTGGGATAGAGTTGAATGCTTTTCACAAGTCCAGGTAGATGATGTCAATTGCTTTTCCATTAATCCACCAGCACTGTAACCCTGTCACAGAAGGCCACTGAATTTGTCAGGCACAATTTGCCCTTAGTGAAGCCATGCTGGCTGTCACCAATCACCTCCTTATTTTCCATGTGCCTTAGCATAGTTTCCAGGAGGATCTGCTCCATGATCTTGGGCACAGAGGTGAGACTGACTGGCCTGTAGTTCTCCAAGCCTTACTTTTTTCCCTTTGTAAAAATGGTGGTTATATTTCCCCTTTTCCAGGGGAAATGATATAGAACAGAGCCAAAAGAAAATGCTGAGGGCTATTTTCAAAGAATACGGTCTCTGTAGAAGAAGAAAGGAGTTAGCAAGGCACCTATCATTATATGTTGTGCTTTGAACAAATCCTACTATTTTTCTGGTTTCCTACAACAGAATCCACCCTTTGAAAAGATATTTCACAAAATTAAATTAATGGAAGTGGGAGAAACAAGACCTTGCAGGCATGCTTGCACTTCTTAAAATGTGATTTTAGTGTTCCTTTCTCCCAAAGCTCTGACTTCTCTTCAGAAGATTCTCCTTTCTTTCCCTCCCCATCTCTTGTCATGCTTGCCTTTAAGTTCCAGTCTAGGCTCTACAAGTTAGGGATCATGCTTGTAAAATGCCATTCATAGTTACTGTCACAGTAATAATCTTACTGGGGTGTATTTGCCCACCTGAAGGAATTGAAGATTATTTGAGGATCAGAAGGGTAAGGCTCTGGAACAGTCCTCTGATGGCTATGGAAGCAAAACACTTTCATAGCTGCCAGGCTTGATCAGTGTGTGTGAAATTATGGAAAACTGTATTAAATGTCTGCCTACAGGAGAAATGGACTTCATGGCACGAGATCCCTTTGTCCTTTTTTTTTTTTTTTTCACATGGAATTGATGGTGGTCAGTCTGATTATACCTCCTAAAATATTGGAAGCAGGATAAAATCTGATCTTTTCAGCACTGCTGCTTAAGTTTGACCTTCCTCCGCTATCAAGGGCATGTCATTAAAGGGAGGATGAACAAAACCTGTTTGCTTAAGCACTCTGGCCCTGATGGAAAAAAAGCACTTCAACAATCTTTGTGTTCCCACTTATTTCAGATTCAGGCGTGCCTTACATTTAAGCTTGCTAAAATGTGTTGATAGATTACTGTCTTGCATGATCCAACTCTAGTCGTACTGAACTTAACATCAAGCTTTCCTAAATCTCACTGCTTGTAAGGAAAGTGACAGTCATGGCCTCACAAAGTTATTTTGGTT